GTACGTAGCCGACAGCCGACTGATGCTTAGCGTGCTGCATAGCTGCCCCTTCAGGCTGGGGGAGTACACATTCATAATTAAGACTTCCAAGTATTAAATAAAAGAATCTTCCCGCCAATCCATTCTTGCGATATTACATTGAAATATATCACGACTGCTTCCCTCAACATACCAATTTCATTTGCAGTCACCCTGTCATTCGACGTTATAACCAGACTCCTTGAGAACCTTAAAGTTCGTTACCGTGTTCGGTGTTGCCTGCCACCGGATCCTATCTTGAGCCATATAAATCCAACTCACACCCTGAGCCCCTATTACCTCAAGGTCCACTTTAGTGCGTCCTCCCCTCGATACCTTTGTCTTCCCAGTGTTTTCTTCCGTTCAGGCTTCGTAACCGAAATCCGTCCTCCTTGTACTGTCTCGTCGACGTAGATACACTACCTTTGAATCATATTCTCCTTATCCCGAACAGCGTTACGCAGAGTCTCCAGTTCTTTGGCGATGTCTTTAGTAGTAATGGGACGATGTATTGGCGGGACGCCGACGACCCCCGTCGGTAATGCCCCGACACTGCCGTTCTTCTTTCGACGCGGGGTTGTTGAGAGCGATACCTCAATGCTGGCCATCTGCAACAAATTAGCTTTTCATATTAATGTTAGCATCAGATTCTTAATTCATAATTTCTGTCATCTGCTGTATGTAACTTTCAATAACTTCGTATTTTCCATATAATGTAAGGCCCCGTGTGTTTGATAAGTGTCAGATGTCTTCATCAAGTACTTTGACTCATTTGATATAGGCCTATCTGTGCTGTTGGTTGAGCACCTCTGAAACGTCGGTTAACGTCTACCAGACACGGCGCAACATCCCAAGATACAGCCATCGGCTCAAAAGTTCTTGGTGGAGGCCAGACAGCGGTGGTGAAGTAGCTAATTCGGTTTATTGGCACACAGTCAATTGTTTTGGTTGGGACATACGTAATATTATTTGTGTATATCATAATCAGTTGCACATGTTTTCGAAACTTGTGTGACAAACTACATCAACCATCTTGAGACCGCCCTAACTTCAATTACGCTGTGGTTATACACCAACAACTTTTGGGGGTACAAAGTTGAAGAAAAATTATATCTGGGGGTACGAGAACAAAAAAGTTTGAATACGACTGCGATAATGAGGAAGGCTTTCCGGTACAACGCTTTGATTTTCATTCCGGAGGTAATATTAATTGAAGCTGAACAGAATGACACTCCTGTGAGTCACCGTCGCTGGACCGGACGAATACTGTCCAGAGTCTTCGCATCCCATTATTCAGTAACGTGAGTACACCAGAAATTTATCCGTTTGTTTATTTATCATCCCGTGACATCTCTTTCGACGCTACCAGTCGATGCATATGATTTCTTTGCTATCTTTGCTCGAAGTATATAAAGTGAAAGTGTAACTGAAGTCCAGTCCGCCGAATCTCAGAGGCAGCTGGACAGGTTTCGATTATATTTGGCACATGCTAAAAAATATCGTTCTGCTTTGCATTTCATTATTACCGCCTGCTTTCGTCCACTTTCACGATGTGACGCAAGCATGTACAAATGTGATGACGTCAGACCCGTCTCGTTGTCGATATAAACATTCTGGATTCCTACTTTTGCTTTGATAGGTTGAATTGTTGGAGTTTTGAGCCAGGAGAAAAGTAGTATGGCTTTGAGAAGTTGTTAAAATGTTTGTTGGAGTTTTGAGCCAGGGGAAAAGGAGTATGGCTTTGAGAAGTTGTTAAAATGTAAACACTTTTTATGGTATGAGTGTAACGGTGTGACTTATATTTATGAGTGAGTTTTTAGAAGCAGGTATGCAATTGTCAGGTTGGCCGAGCGGTCTAAGGCGTCAGACTTAAGTTCTGATTCCCGCGAGGGAGCGTGGGTTCGAACCCCACACCTGACAATATTTTTTTTTTTAATTCGACAATAATTAACTTTTGTTGTCTATGAATCTTTTAGTTTTAATTTTTCACTGCGCGATCTTGTTTTTGAAATGTTTATTATTCCTGTCTAGAACTTGCAGAATCAACTCCGTATTATTGTTTTCCACCTACACCATGAAGTGGCTACGTCTTTCGACATGCTCTTATCTCTTATCATGCTTTGTGTGCCATTGTTTTGTGCACAATATTCATATTCTTTTATGTAGCGCGCATTAAAATTATGAAACATGCGTATGTAATCTTCGCGAGGGATCACTGCATGAGGTTAGTGAATAAAATGCATCGCTACAGATTTAACTACCCTGGGTTCGATTTCCAGCAGGGGCTTTTGTCAACATCAGCCCACCCAGTCTCTTATCCACAGGAATAAAGCGGCCGGGGCGCGAAGCTGACAACCTCCACGTAGTGCGGGGCTTAAGAGCAGGGACTTCGCCGGAAAGTTAATATTGTTGATTTGCTGTAAAATTTGATTTGAGCTTAATGCGAAGTAATGAAAGTACGAACCAATATTGAATTTTCGCAACAAGTTGTGGTTTCGACCTAGAATACGACATTTAATCGAGATCCACTCAGTCATTTCGGATATGAAACTTGCTGGCGGACAAACACGACATCCGTATTATGCGTTCATTTTGTGTAATCTGTGTAATTGTCGCACACAAGTGAGTCTTGTAAGTAGTGCAGGTGTGATTGGATATAACTGGCCCGTGATGTTCCACAAGTGGGAGTTTCCGAACAGCTTGAACGAGCAAAGTATTGGGTGGGATTATAATGCGATGATATGACTTCGGTTCTGAATACGCGAGAAATGTGGTAAAATTTAGGACGACAGTGCGTAAGAATCATCTGCTGAAAGAAACTTTATTTCTTTCCAGGTAATTCATTTCCCTCATAAAAGAACCCACGTCTGAAATAACTGATTTACGAAGTTTTTGTTTTCCATTTATGCGAAGAGGTGAACTGGTCGTGTTCCTAGTTCAATGGTGGATTGAAAGACCCTTCTGAACACTTACTCAGTCAGTAAGAAGTCGGCAAACATCAAAGCTTCTAAAAATAGCGATTGGTTGCATTGAGTTGGAGTAAACAATATCCCTCCCTCCCCCTCCCCCAAAGTACGATTCAAGTGTTTCTCTTGTTATTATCAGTTGTGAAAACATGATTCTCTTTGTCGAATGCGAGTTCCGATAAGAGCGTAGCTAGTAACATCAGCAGCGGTCACGGAAGGAGACGAGCCATTCCAACTAGTGCTCTGCTTCCCCATATTGAGCAGAATTATCCAAGGCAGGGGTCGGTAACCTTTTCATTACCGCGGGCCGCATTGGCTATTCATATCCTTGTCAAGGGCCGCGGAAAAATTAATAACACGGTGGACAACTTGCGAAACGAGTATCTTGAACTTCAGAGAGCTGGTATTCACCTGAAAACGATAATAGATGTGTTTCACCAGAGAACTGAGTTTACCGTAAGGATTTGTTTGTCAGCTTTCAAACAATTTTTTTTACAGTCGTCGTTAATTTTATAAAACTTCGTTTTCACGTTCTTTTGTTAAATTTAAACAACGGAACAACGTGCCTTTGCGCAAGATGTCGTAGGTCTCTCCACTGCTTTAGTTTTCAACATGGATGTCTTCATGTCATATTTGCTTACAGTTCTGTTTAGTTTGTGCAAGTGAACAACGCCAAGGCCAGTGAAGTGTGTAGAATCGCAATTCACTCTTGTTTTGTTTGGTATATTTGGGCCTGTTCAGAGCTGGGATGTCGTGCTCAACAAGCCCAGTAGACAGGGAGATGATACTGAAACCAGGTGTCCATGTCAGGCGCGCGCACAAGAGCTCTCGTGTGGAGTGAGGGCACTCAAGCAGCGAGCCCAGAGATTACGAGATTTCGGATTCTTAATACTCGCCGACGTGAGAAGCTCATCATCACGCAAGCGGTTGATAATTTTACGAGACAGTTTAAATCAGGTTCAGTGATTATTCATTCGCCTGCTAGTTAATACCTTGTTATCCGATTCAGTATTGGGCGTTGAAGTAAAGCTACACGCCATGGAATCGTTTGAGGGGAGAGGGGGTATAGCTCCTGCTCGTTCTTGACCTTGTCAGTGTATGGGGGTGAGTGGTCAGAGTCACGCTCCGTCCGCTAAGGTCGTTAATACGTAAGAGAAGGAGATGAACATCCTTGAGGTACTCGGTGTTGAACTTTATTCGAGTTAGAATAAACATCTCGAGTGTAGAATTGTTTTGTTTCTACGACGACGCCAGCTTATGCTGTGGTTTTCTGGGCTGTTGATTGCACAACGGCGTTTTCAAGGAACATGTTCCTCGTCTTGGCGGTGTGGGTGTTTAATGGGGGGCAGGGAACACGTACTGGAGATTCTGTTACCAATATTTGTCTTCTGTTTGCAACATGTGATTTACTGGCGTTCCCGTCTGTTCCATAATAAGTTGTTTTAGTCATAACGCGATAAACACGGCTGAAAGACTTGGCCAAATTCCAGGATATTCCTGTTAACACAATTTTGGTTACTGAAAGCTTAACTTGAGGACCAGCCATACCGTGGTGACGAGACCAGTAATTAAGTATTAAGGTACAATTTGGCTGCACGCGACAGAGACAAGCGACCGAGGCAGGCGACAGAGTTACGAGACCGAGACTGGTCGCTTCCTGTCTGCTCTCTGTACAATCGTATGAAGGACAATTACGAGCGCGAGACAAAGACAGGCGACAGAGACAAAGCACAGGAGACCGCTCTCGGACCAGTAGTGTCTCGCGACGGGCTCAGGCAGCACGTGTGTTGTTGAGTAAAATAATGGCAGAAATTAAATTTACTGGTGACCAAGATGAGCAATTGGTAGAATTAGTAGCAGAAAACCGACCACTGACCACCGACAGAAAGATCCTTCTTCGCGTCTGGTTTTGAATATTGAACTCATAGGTTTTCTTTGTTTCTTTCGCAACAA